ACCCAGCAGGCAGTACAGGAAATGCTGTGCTACTTAGAGGAAAACCTCTTCATGCCAACCAGAGGTGAGAAAAGTTACTTCCTTCCAGCAATGAGAAACAAATTGATGGAATGGATTTGTCTATGTTTGGAGTTTGCTAAACTCTCACTGTAAACTGGTCCTCATCAGCAATGAAAGATTTATTTTGGTTTTGTATCACTGTTTTATTTTTCTTGTTGTCCATAACTGAAAAAAAAGGAATATGAATGGCTCCTCTGAAAACCAAAAAACGTGGCCATTTTTTAGAGTCACTGAAAAAAAGAGTAGAATTTGGGAAATAACATAGAATTTGGGAATCTTGTGAGCCATTGTGTGTCACAGAGGCTTATAGTAGGTCTGGTGGGTGTTTACAGTAGTGAAGTTGGTTTTGGTAAAAGTTTTCCTTTTTTTGGTACTGGGAATTGAATTCATGACCTCATTCTTTCAAGGCAGAAACTGTGCCACTGAGCTAAATGCCTGGCCTGGTGAAAGGCTTTAGAGCAGCCTGTGAGCATTTTTAATCTGGTGAATCACTGTGGTATATGGTGCTTTATGCTCCGAGTGTGACTTTCTGTGAAGTTTCAACTGCCCTCCTCCCTGGGCCTTGGAAAAGACCAACAGAGCATCAGCATTAGTCACAGTTTCGTTGCTGAGACAAAATACCCAATGCCCACACCTTAAAGGAGATTAAGTTTATTTTGGCTCATGATTTCAGAGGGTTCCATCAGCTAATGCAAAGACGACATCGTGAAAGGGCTTGGAGGAGGAAAACTACTCAACCCACAGCAGCCAGAAAGCAGAGACAGGAGGGAGGACATAGAAACAAGAAGACACACTTTCAGGTCAAATCCCAGTGACCCACCTCTTCCAACCAGGCCCTACCTCGTAATAGCACCTTTAGTTATTAACAAATCAATGAATTAATTCACTGATGAGTATTGTGACTCCATGATCCAATAACCTTCCAAAAGCCTCATCTCCAAACACATGAGACTTTTAGGGGACATTTTAAATCTAAATCTTAACAGCATCTAAGCCAAAAGCACCAGGACTTTACCAAGAGATGTGGGTTCTCTCTCACTGTAATGTGTGATTCCTTCAGAGTCTCCATTTTATTGGCTGGATGCAAATAGGGTGACTCAGAGTTACTGATGAGACACATGCAAGATTATCGCAGTATTTATGCCACCTAGTTTGAAAACAAGCATATCCTCGGCCATTACAGCAGCTATCCGAGGAACGCTGTGTTCCCAGAATGCAGTACCTGATATGCCCAAAGATCACATTCATACAGAATATCCTTTATCTGCTTCTCCCAGTGCCTGCTAATCTTTGCCTTCTTTTTTGCATCTACTACACATAATCTATAAGCCTATCTATAAGGTATCACAATCTATAAGGTATCACAAATTCCTCCTCTTCCCTATCCCCATGGACTGCAAGAGGTATAAATTGAGGGGGTAAAATGTGGCATAATAATCTGTGGGAAGCAGGCTTGTGGGTATGGTCTCCAGTACCAGCAACTCACAGCCTCACGGGGACAGTGACTCCTGTGACAGCAGGCCCTCAGCAGCAGCAGACGAGCCTGAGAGGTTCGGCTGCAGTTTCCACAAGAAAAGGAGACTAATGGGACTATGAAGTGCAACTGGGAAAAATAATACGTGCTGCCTGTGAACTATTTTCAAGGCAGCTAGGTCTCAGAGTGCCTATAAAACTCTAGCTTTCCATGGGTGGTGGAAGATCAGTGAGCCCGTGTCATACGTGACATCTCAAATTCCCCTCGGTACTCAGGACCAGGGAAGGAGCAGTGGAGACGCCAGCCAGGATCCATGTGGCTCATTTCTAGTTGACTCTGATTGCTTAAATCCACAAAGCGGAGAAACCATCCCAAGAGGCCAACTCTCCTAAGCCTACACATCCACACTGTGGAATACGCCTGATGATGTCTGCATGGGAACATGGGCCTGAGGCTCTGAAGTCCTTTCTTACCTCAGTCGGGTGCCAGAGATAGGTGGCTGGAAGGGAAAATCCAAAGGACGGCATCAAGCAATGGTGGTTATCTTAATCACTTCCCTATCCCTCATACCCACAATCAGAAGAGGTTTACTTTGACTCGTGTTTTAGAAGTTTCCATCCTTGCATGTTCAGCAGCATGCGGGAGGGTCTGGCAGAGGAAAGCTGCTCACATCATGGCAGCCAGGAAGCAGAGAGAAAAGGGAGGGTTGGGGAGATATATTCTTCCGGGGGACAACTCCAGTGACCTATTTCTCCCAACCACACTCCACTCCTAATAGCAAGTCCACGTTCCCATCCAGCCACCTTCCAAGAGCCACCGGGGGAACGTATAGATAACAGACCGTAACAGTGGTCTTTCCCCCAGAAACAAGCAATGCTTAAGGCCAAAATGAAGCCCTGCGTCACCTGCATACAGATGGAAGTCAGAAGTTGTGAGCCGCAGAACAGCAGCATCTCTCAAAAGCTAAAACTAAAATTTTCTACACTATTTTCTGATATCACTAAGTTTCTACTTTGGTCTTTGGAAGCACTAAGCACTTACTTCATGAAATAGTTTTGTCTGGGATAGCTGATTTAATGCCTGAAGATTGGCTTATTTTGACACAAGTGCGTCTGTGGGGCCAAAGTATGACAATTCTTCATACTCTGAAAGGTCAGCAGGTCAGAATTGGCCTTGCATTCAGTTTCTTAGGAGGCTCTGCACGATCTACGCCCATCAAGACAACCGTAGCTACAACCTCCAAAGGAAGCTCAATTCCAACGGGCATCGGAGGTCCTCTGGCTAAGGCTGACCGGATGACACGACTGGCAGGAGAGCTTTTAGATACAATTTTCTTGAGGTTTTTAAACTTGGAACTCCTGTGGATAAGAGGATTTGATTTAGTTGATTCCTTTAATGTCTTCAGATTCTAGCTTTCAAAGAGATTTAACCTTTGAACTGTCTTTTTCCCCCCTAAAAACTGAAAGGTCTTTCCCTTCAACTTTGGGGAATCATTATTATCGGACAAACTTTCATGCATTCTCTCATGGCCATCTTCCTGTGTTGGGATTTAATGTCGATGTAGAACCTGTGGGAGTGCTCTAATGGACAACTTGGGGAATGGGAAACATTTTTACTTTTGGGTACACAGCAGCCTTTCCATTTACTTAATAGTTTATTGTTGGATCCATTTCAGAGCCTTCAGAGAATGCGATCATCCACCTTCCTCTGACAGCGCCAGGAGATGACAGCCGAAGGGAGTATTGCAGAGCAGCCTCATAAACGCGAGGCAGGTCCGCCTCCTGAAAGCGTGGCTCTCCTCTGGATGACCACCAGCAGCTGTAGGCCAGCACTGGGCAATGGTTAAGGTCAATGCTTAAAGAGAACTTAAAACTGGAAGATGTAAGAGGAACACGTTTCTCTAGTCCAGATCTCCAGGGAAGGTATTTCCCCTACATACCTGCCTGCCCTCTGTATCATGAGTGAGCCTGCATGGTTCTGCAGACCCTACTCTTGGATTTGCTATAAAAAGTACATTTCTCCTGCTCCTCCCAGGACTTCACCTCTTGGGCTAGAGTAGCTAAGCAGATGGGTAAATCTAATTCCACAGTTCACTCGCGGCAAAGTCACTAGGGTGAACAGGCACCCAGCTGTGAGCTCCAATCTGGCCTCTTCCAGCAGTGTGGACCATTGTTTTCCACAATGGCTAAACCGCTGGCCAGAGAAGGGGAATGATTTATTAGCCAACCTCAACAAGACTGCTAGGATGCTGAGCAGGACAATCACAAGTTTGACTCCAGCCTGGGCAACTTTCAGGGACTTAGCAAGACTGTCTCAAAATTTAAAAATTTTTAAAAAAGGTTGGAGGTCAATCTCAGTGGGAAGGCCCTGGGTTCAATTCACGTACTTCAAAAAAGCATCAATGAAAGTCCCTGAACACCTAGTGCTTAACACTTCTCTAAAGATCTGACAGTCTGACCTCAGACCTTCACTAATTAGCCAACTGTGCAAGGCAACACGCACACTGCTGTGACATTAAGGACTGCTGCCCTCCAAGAGCTTCCTAGGCCGGGCTCCTCCTCGCTCCCACCGTTGACTTGATCACCTCCCAGCCCATGAACCCCCTGCGAGGCCTCCTCTCCCGAGGGCTGACCTCTCCGTCTAGACTGAAGTCTTGCTGAAATCCCATGCTTCACATACCTTCTCCCTGAAGCTCGATCAGCACCCACACCGCCTCACCCACCTCAGCACTTTCTTACAGTCATCTCGATTCCATCTTCGGCTGGTCTGTTTCTCAATTGCAGCAAGGCTCACACTTCCAATGCACAACTGGCACGAATGCTACCTGTACTGCTGCACGTTTGGCAACTTCCCTGGCTTCTGTCCACTATGTCCTGGTTTTGCCCTATCCTACAGCAAAATCTCCCCAGCTGAGCACTGTCAATACAGCAGAAGACCAGGCCTTGCAAGGTTAGGAACCCTAAGCAGCTGTTCAAAGCTTGGTTACATGAGCCATGTTTGAAACTGAATGTACCATGACAGCTCACTAAAGGTAAAGTTTTCAAACTCAATGCCTACTAGGCATAATGGTGCCTTCCCATAATCCTAGAACTCAGGAGGCAGGGGCAGGGGCACTGTCACAAGTTCAAGGCGGCCTGGGCTACATAGCGAGTTTGAGGCCAGTTTGAACTATACAGCAAGAACCTGTCTCAAAAAAATTAAACTACCAAGAAGTTAATGACTGACAGAGATAATACCCTTTAAAATCTCCTAATCCACAAACCAAAATGAACTAAATTAGCTAGAAGATAAAACCCCGCACCTCCTAAAACACCTGAGTGCTAAGCTTATATTTTCCAGGTATAATATTTTCTAAAGGAATACTTTTTATCATTGCCAGTGTTACTGACTTCTGATTACCAATCAGAAGACTAAAATTAATAAATTCACATGAGGTGAGAAAATGGAAATGGAACGTACAACTCTATTCAAGTAGAAACAATTTTAGAGGATTTTATTGTCAATTAAAAACACCTTATCGTTTTGCTACATTTAATTAGCACATTAAGAACATGTAAATCAAAAACCACAAAAGTGTACTTTTAATGAAACATGGTTTTAATAAGACATGGATATACAAGTTTAGTGGTTTTATCGTATTGTTAGAAAATTATATTATGAAAGATACAAAAAATCCATAATGTTATTATTTCTGTTTATTTTTACAATCAGTATGCCATCTTTTACCATTTGGCTTTAAATTTTCATTTTACCCAACAGGTTTCAAAGAATAGTTTATTACATGCCTTAATAAAACATTTAAAATATTTACAAATTCAAAATAGATGTTTCATAACTGAAAAAAGTTCACCTGAGAATTCATGATAACATCTGCCTTTCTTTTCCAAGTTGTTAATGTGGCTGAGTGTCCACACACAATCTGTATCATCTACTGTGGTAACTACATTTAACTCCTTATTAAAAACCGGTTGAGCATTAAGCTGTAGTAAATTGTTACAAAACTTACAGACGGAGAGCCAATATTATATTCACATTTGTTTTACATATAACAATTTAACAAATTGCTATAGCTATAGTAATCAAATAAGAAGTAAAATTTTTGGTAATATTATTTTACATAACACCTTTTTAAAAACTTTGATCAAGCTTTGAGAAGACCAGTTCATAAAACAAGGAACAATGATCATGTACATATGCAATATACAAACTGCAAACAATTCCAAAGTCTGCATGACGGAAAAGGCATACACTGTATACACAATCCTATCACTTGTCTTCGGCAGCCTCAAAAAAATATTGTCTGGAAACAAATTGTCTTAGAAAAAACTTCTTCAGAGGTTAATGTTAAAATAGGCATAAATGCGTAATGCTATGCAGTATATAGAAAACTTCCCCACCTTATGGCCAAAAGACAAAGATAAAATCTTTTTTGTCTATATTACAACTTGAAAATCATGTAGGTATGAGGTAGTGTAGTTATACTTGTATTACATGCTGGCTACTAAAAGTAATGCTAAGTTTTAAGAAATATTACATGTGGCCAATTATCACACACCATTAAAATAATCCTCAATGCTAAACTGCTTACAGATAGAAATATAAAACAGGTACTTTAAAAATTATAAACTGTGCAGACTAGTTTTTAGCATAAAATACTAATTTTTCAAAGCAAATATTTATAGTTTCAATTAAAGCAAAAAAATTACTTGACATTTGCACATACACAAACTGATGACTGACAGTCGAGTGTACACTGAGGTAGGAAATCAAGGGTTCCATTGGCTTGAAGATTTTACATTTTGTAAACCAGAGAAGTCTTTATATTATTTTATATTGTGAAGTTGAAATTTAAAATTACAAGTATCAAGGAAACAGCCACATGGGGAGATATATAGGTACACATAATTATTTTGTAGCATGGGACACATTCTCACAGAAAGATCATTCTCCCTGACAAATCAAAAGTACTCCTGGAAGCCTCTAGAAAGTAATACCAATTTTCTCTTCTGATTAAGTCAGTAACAGAGACAATAATACATACACTGAAAATATATTAGCAAATCCACTCCCACCCTGCCCCACACCCTGATGAAAAAGAGTAATGTTGGACAAGTCCCTCTGGAACATTGAAACTGGTCCCCGTACACTCAAAGCAACAGTCTATTTGTTTCTGACGCATCTGTACACAATGGGTGGATGCCCCCCACCTCCGCCAGTCACCCAGGATCTTGAACGGACTCAGCAGCAGTCTAGAGGAGTAGCTCTTCAGGTCTCTGAGTTCAGTTCCATTCCAAATACTATAAACTACCCCTCTGTACCCCCCAAAACTGGGCTCTGCAAATGTTTCCATGAATGCAGGTTAAGTGCCCCTTATCTGAAATGCTTCAGACCAAAAGTTTCAGATTTTCAGATTTTTGAGTATTTGTTACTTATAGAATAAGATATTATGGGGATGGATCCCAAGCCTAACCTTGAAATTCATCTATGTTTCTTATACACTTTACACAGCCTAAAGCAACCTTAAAAAGAATAGTTTGTGTGTGAGTTTTGACTGCAATTTGTCCTATGAGGTCAGGTAATTTGGGCATCAGGTCAGAATTCAAAAGTTTTGGACTTTGAAGCATTTCAGACGTCATGATTAGGGATGCAGAACCTTTATGTATTTTCTGTTTTAATTGTGCGGTTCTATAGCTTTCATTTTAATCTCAAATCTATGATTCCACATTGGCTAAGAATCATTACATTATGGGGCAGGTGCTTAAATTACAAACACATTTTTAACAGGATCAAATAAATACGAAGAATGATTTTTAAATGCCCAAGTTGAAATGATTTATGTGCCTTTACACCACACTAAAGAAAGGATTAAAATCTGGTTCCCAAATGGTACCAGATCAACTTCCATTTTTTCTCACAAACCTGCAGTCACAGTAGACACAGTTTTTCTGTAACAATGGTCTTTACAAGCATTCCACAAGACTTCAAAAACAGGATAAAAATGAACTGTGCTCCTCGTAAACCCAGGCAATTTTCTTTGCATTAATGTCTGCTTTTCTCGCACTGGTGACCCACCATGCAAAAGGAAAGAGCCTTGTATGCTGCGCCACCCCTGACAACGCTGCCGGATCATTCAACAGCACTGCACCAGAGTCCTGTGACTTCTTCCAAGAGTTAAGAATGTAAGGAAACAGCAAGTTCACGATGGGCCCAGATGTGATAGACTGACGAGAGAACTTTAAAAAAAAAGAGCCAGGGGGAGAATGACATGTGTCTGCTGTTTATGCAGACAGAAATTCTAGGGTCACATTCTAGGTCAATACTGAGGAGGAGAAAAGCCTCCACCTTAGGCCAGCCACCTACTCGTTCACCAAGTTCTCCCAGTGTAGCTGAGGAATCACAGCGAAGTCCAACCCACATCTGGTTTTAGGAGGAGCAGAAGAGCAGAGCTCTAGGACTCAGGTACTCGGCTAAGATGATTTCTTTTTCACACTGCAGCTCTCCCTCCCACCGCTGACACCGTTTCTGAGCAGACCAGACCTCTACTAGCATCTGCTATCCAGTACACTGCCAAAGGTCTCTGCAGATGCTTCAAGCTGGTGAACTGGGTTTGCTATGCTGCAGTTTTCTTTCTCATAATTATTCTGAATACTTGGAAACTACTATTGAGTTATTTTCTAAAATGTAAGTTTTAAGGGCTTACTACCTTTTCACATGTGGTTTTGCAAAACTCAGGAGACCAATGATTTATGTGTCTTTTGTGGAAATCAGGGTTGACTGAAGAGAGATCCCCCCGCTTGAAAGAAAAGCTATGAGGGGAAAAGAAGATTTTAAAGCAAGAGACGACTGTACTGGGCTTTCAAGACAATGCCCACACTTCAGTAGGAAGTCCAAGGGCTGAAGGAGGGAAAGCAAGCTTACTCATCAGTAGTACATTTATCAGTCATCTGCTGACAGAAATCTGAGATCCCACCACTCTGGCGACACTGCTCCACGGGCCCCGCTGGCTCCGAGACGGCCGCAGGAGCTGGCTGCGCCTCCTGCCCCGCCGTGCAGCCGGGCTCACAGCCCCCTCTCCCACCAGGGGACGGTGCAGCTGGAGGCCAATCTGATAAACTGAAAATTGATCGTAACAGAAGTTCACCATCAGAAGTACTTTTTCCTTTCTCAGAAATTAAAAATGAGAGTGGGCAGTCTGAGGCTGAGTACTTGGCAAGAATCTGTATTTGTTCTTGACTCAGAGCCGCTTCTTCACAGACTTGCTGGCAAAGCCCGGTCAGGTTCTGCTTTGTCTCACCCAAAGTTGACAAAATGTGATCTCTCTCTTTTAACAAGTTCTCCTTTTCATTTTGCTACGAAGGGAAGAAAGAAAAGCATTTATTACCTCAATTAACATTTCTAATGATTGAACACTCAGTATCCACAGTATCTTCTCATTAAATAACATCACAGGAATTCTTCCTTTCATTCAGATATAAACAACGAAGGTCCATAATCCATCCAAAACTCGTAACAGTCAGATATACTTTAGAATTCAGAATTTTCAGATTTTAGAAACATAATATGGATATACAGAATTCCTCTGGCAGGTATGGGACAGCACCTCACTATTACACATCTTTACATTTTTCAATGAAACACTAAAGTATCAAATAATACACAAAGGAGGACAAAGCTATGCAGTCTTAATTTGGGTTTCTGGACAAGAGTGTGTGAGAAACTTGAAGCTTTCAGAGCTTTCTGGATTTGCAGACCATAGGTAAACAAGTGTGCACGTGACATTTTCGATGGACTACAACAAAGTTCTAAGTACAGCGTACACAGCTTTACTGAGACACACACCATGCAAGACTCAACGAATGACTGCTTTCTTGTGCCTGTTATTATGCTGAACGCTTTCAAACATGCAACCTCAGAGATGCAATCCACACAAAGACTGCTGATGTAAGTAATACTGAGCCCACTATATAGACAGGATTAAGGGTTTAACATGTCCAAAGATAGAACACTGCTGCGTGAGTCACCTGTACAAGAACATCTACCACTGGACTTCTTCTCGGGAAACTTTCTTGGTTCCTGTTTTTCTTACCACTTATCACTTCCGACTGCGTGATGTTTTTTTATCCTCATCCTTCCTATCCTACCGTTGTATTGCTTTGTATCTACTATGAGCTACAAAAGCTAATAAACAAGCTGTTTATAAGATAAGAGTAAAGAAATACTGACAGAAGATCAAAGGCTTCTCTTGTGATATTTATTACAACTATCTTGGAAAATCAGGGGTCATGTTTTGCTTGCTTTCTGCTCACAGGCAGATTCTAGAGTTGAAGGTGCCAGTTAACATTTAGACAGGTCATTTCCTAGTACTAATCTGTAACTTCTATCCTTTCATCAGAGCAAGCTAAAAAATAACTAAGACGGTAATAAGAACTTTGCTTTATGCAAAAGTAACTGTTATACTTTTACACACTAAAAGTCCTATAAAATGATGTGACAATCCAATTATTGGTAGTTTTTTAAAAAATATCTTAAGGCTAATATTTTGAAAAGGTATACAATGAATACAAAGAACTAAATTTTTACATGCAACCCATTCTCCAATTTGTTCTTCTGATGTCTGTAAAATTGTTTTGGTTCAACAGAGAAATGGGTACACGTCAATAACAAAGAGAAATTAAGATCAGTGTTCACTCAGCACAGTTTTTCTTATGCAGACTTTGTTACAGTTTTTAGATAAAACGAATCCCAGGTACTAAGAGCACACCAATACACCCCCTGAGGCTTGTTCTGAGGAGCGCATTTAATGCATCTGTACCCTTTCTCTTTATGCCCTCCTAGAAGACAATGCAAATGGAGATGGCAAGAAACACAACTCCCAGAAGAAAGTGAAAAATATCTTTCTTCAGATATAGCATTATTTAATCATGGATTCCCCTATCCAAGTTGGGGTGAATCTATTCTAAATAAGCATAAGCAAAATTTTCATTGCTGGGTTGTCTTTTAAATTCAATATGGCTAAACAAACCAATGAATGTTTAAGTTTTTTCCCATACACCAGAACCACTACTTAACCCCTACAAGTATCACAACAACATGTACAGTATTTTATGACTTCTGCATCTTTATGTAAATATCCATATAATTTAATACTCTCATGCCTCCTGCTCCACTAAAGAAGGGATGACATCATCCATTACCGTGTCCTGTACAAGATGGTTTGCTTCTTCACAATTAAAATGAGTGTAACCCTGAAACTCTACCGTGATTATTTCTGTACTCCCATCTGTTCCTCTGTACTTCAAGCTAACTCCTACGTGGCTAATTTCACTCTAATCTTAAAACCCAAATTTACTATGATAGCAGTCAGATTAATAACTGACAGTTACATGAAAGAAGTAATCCAAGTAAATACCTCATAAATCACCAAAGATACCTCCCCAGCATACTACCACTGTCCTGCTTTGTATTTCTACAATGTACTGTATTCTACTATTCTGACTAAAGTAACAGTACAACTATTAGGTTTGAAGTACTGTACCCGAATAAAACTGATCTAACAATGAATAAAATGGGCACCATTCTGTACTTTGTACCAACAAAGCAACTTTAGCTCCCTATTTTGAACAGCTAGTGTACACTATTCATTCAAATATAATTTCTTAAAAGCAATTCTGAATATGATTCACCCAGTAAAGTCAAGGACCATAAGAATTTGGCACCACAAAAGCCAGATAAAGAGTGATATTTTAGGAAAGAAAGTACTAACTGCTAGTAAATGGTCCCTGATGATTTCTTCTGACATAAAACCTCTGAACAAACAGTTCAGAAAAAATCTATAAATAGCCCTTCAAAACATGAACAAAAATGTTCAGTTCTACCCATAAAAGAGAAAAAAGAAAAACTGCCATGAGATCCTAATTCTTACTGTCAGACTGAAAAAAAAAAAAAAAAAGCTGACAAGAAACTCTTGCTGAGGCTGTTGAGACAAACATACACTGCTGTGGAGAAGGCAAAATGGTACACCCACTAAGAGGAATTTGTTAACAGCTAACAATATTACACGTGTATTTGCTCTTGATCCAACTATCTCACTTCTAGGAATCTACTCTAATATACATATCTCCCTAAACATGAAGGAATACAAAGTAAATCACTGCAGCACCCCAGTTGTCTCTCCACCGGAGACTGCTCACCAGTCTCCCCTGAACACGCCGCACACCATCGCAAGTGAACACGGCCGAACTGCACAGTGAGCGATCGTCTCCTGAACTAAGCAGTGTTCTCTAGAAATCACTTAAGTGAAAAGCATAAAACAGTGTAGATAAAATACTTCTATGTGACAGAAAGGGTAATAAGAATAGAATACAATAAGATACCAGCTTGTTTCTAGAAAAAAACCAAGCATATGAAAGTTTTCACTGGTAAGAAGTAGCTATAAACAGAGTTCAAGAAGAAAAAGGGTTTAAGACCTCGGAGTATACTTTTTAAAAAATGTACAGTTTTAACTTTTTGAGCAATATATTTTACATACTTAAAAATTTTTACATAAAAAATGTAAAGAGTAAATCTTACTAAATATAAACAGAAACTAATTGTACATCAAGTTGTTAAAAAATTCTTCAAATAATTTCAGACTCCTCTTTTTCTGGATATATTTAAAGGCAAAAAAGACAAATCTTAAATTCTGTCCAATCGTAACATTCTGTTCAATAGTAACACTGATTATAACTTTGTGACATATATATCTCTTAGGATAAAGCAATTAGTGAATATACTAATACAATTAGGACCAAGATTTTCCCTGTACATCATGAGATAAAATACAAACACAAAAGGAATGGTTAATGTTTAATTGTCTGATCATCTTACATGCCTATATTTATCTGAATAACCAATCTGAAGGTATCAGTATGTAATATAACAACCATTGTTAATTTCCTATCACGTTGTCTGAAATTCTGCATTTCTTTTCATCAAATAAAAAATACAAATACATATTTTAAAAAGCAGTCAGAGCTGGTCGTGGTGGCTCACGCCTGTAATCCCAGCACTCGGGAGGCTGAGGCAGGAGGATCGTTGCAAGTTCGAGACCAGCCTGGGCTACAAACTGAGCTCAAGGCCAGTCTGAACTGCACTGAGAGACCCTGTCTCAAAAAAACAACAAAAAAAAAACCGCAGTCAGAATTTCTATACTGCTAAATCTAAACTGGAAATTCTATATGAACTCATGATTCTCCATGTACTTTTCTCCATGTACTTTCATTTACTAATGCTATTCATTTGTGTGCATGCGTGTGTTGTGTACACATACACTGAATAACACTGGCACGGGCACGTGTATTTCCTAGCTCTGTCAACTGACAGGGTCCATAAGGTGCAACGCTCCAGAAGGAGGTACGCTTTTCCAAAACACAACATTTCATTCAAACAAACAAAAAAAATGAGGATGCTTTGGAGAAATGGGCGATTCCAAATCTAGGGCTGGAGAGATAGAGAACCTATGGCAGGTAGCAAGTGCCACAGAACTTTAACGGGTCATGCTGGAAGGACAGGTGATGGTTTAAGGGCCTCTTGTCAGCCAAACTTGGAAAAGAACATCATCATCATCAAAGTCTAATCATTACTATTAATTTTCACAAGGTGAATTAGAAAAAAAGTCAATCTATAAGACCGTGGTGATACTGGAGAGTAGCAGGAGAAAGGAAAAGAGAAAGAAGACCTATTTAAAGAGGATTGCCAACTAATAAATGTAAATGAAAGAATTAGAAAAACACCATTTCATAATCTCCCCTGTAAAGGCCATCAATATATGCTGAAAACAAAGGATAAGCATACTGGGGACACAGAGTGCCTACAAAACTCTCCCTTTTCTCATTTTCTCTCACAGGTCATGAATGATTTCAAGGGTGCAAAGATGTAACCTTGAAGCTGAAGAACTCCAGCAGTTCCCACCTACCTAGGTGGGACGCCCTGACACTGTGTGCCCCTCGGATGACGCAGTATGAAGGACCGAACACAGTGAGAGTTTCACCTCCATCCATCAATGCAGACATTTCCAGTTTGTATGGAAATAAAGGGAGGGAGGAATGAATTAAAGCCATGGAAACTATCAGACAACTAGACCTAGACTCTGAAAAACACGTCACTTTTTTTTAAATGGAAGGATTTATTAGGCTTAACAAAGCATCATTTGAGTAGATCTTATTTTTTAAAAGCAACTATAACAGATATCTTGGGTAAAATCAGCATAATTTGAGGGAGGACTAAGTAAATTGAACTTATTCACTGATTAAGTAAGTTGAGGATTTGAATTTGTCAGTATATACAGATATTAGGCATAGGTAAGAATGTC